TAATGACTTTAAGACAAAAATCATGTAAGTCTGCATATCTGTGTACTTGCTACTGTGAGCCTCCTTCCTCTTATGTGCACACAGAAGAGCAGGACTTGCCTGTTAAGGACCCTCTTGGTGTGACAATAACTAGGTGTGACAGATGCTTAAAATAAAATAAAATAAAATAAAATAAACAAAACCACTAAACAATTCATGGATCAAACTGAAAGGCTGTTGAGTGTGGTGAGAGGCAGGAAGTCTAGTTTTAGCCTCAATACTCCATTGAGCTACTGCCCAACACCAGGCTTCATATGCTACCTCTCCTGACCTGTGCTTCTTCATTCTTGAAGTGACATAAGTTTGGATTGCAGCTCCTGTTAGCTTTAAAATCCCATGACATTCTCTACACTGGCCAAGCCCCTAGAGTTGGTGAGGGAATAGATTACTCTTCTAGTTCATTAGGAACCAGTGAACGCTGGGCAAGGCTCTCAGGTTTGTCATGGTCAAGTAGAAGTCCACTAAAGGCTGGCCACATGGCTATAGATTTGGAGAAGGAATTCTTTGACTTTATCCCCCCCTGACCTCCATGATGCAATGGTTTCTATAAAACTCTCTTTTTGCTTGACCCTTTTCAGTGAATGAACAATCACTACAAGAACAAAATCTATTTGTGGTCAGAAAATTGGTTTAGGGATGAAGCCAGAGATGTGACCACCATGTGTAAGCAGTCTCCTTGCTCTTCTACGTTGCCCCATGAAAACTCAGATATTTCTGTCTTCAATTTCTTTTTTAGTTGCATCAAATTGAGTGCCACTTGCCAAGAGTAGAGTTATGGCTATTCCATTACCATACTGTGTGGCTTTGAAAAAGTAACTGCAATTCAGGCTTGTGAGTCTCCTCACAAGCTACATCTACAAGATGGGTAGATGAAAGAGGTGGGGGTAAGGATTACTGAGCTCAGGAAGTTTTAACAATGACAGAATAGGGCACGACATGAATATAGAAACTCTGATGTAATACTGTCACCGCTACTAAACTAGCCAGAGGCTAGCAGGCAATATTAGAATACTGCTAATATTCAGGACAATATTTCAAGCTTAAATTAATTGTGACTGAAAACAGCAAAACCCTCCCAGTATTCTCTAAGCCATAAAAAAGCAGGGGATTTTGCAGCCAGACATATCTGCATGTACTTTGCAAGGGACAGACTATAAACAAACCTGCTCAAGCGATTAATCCCCTATGTCCCAATCATGGGAACCTGATTGAGTAAGAGCTTGTGAGAAATACCATGCAAGAGAGTGCTGCTGGCAATGGCTGAACCATGTGCACAGCAAACTCGTGGGCTTTCACAATCCAGAGTAGTTGACAGGCACAAACTTGGAATTTCCTCTGGGGTGACGTAGCTTGCACTGGAATGAATCCAAGGCTCTGGCATGCCCTGCTGTTGAGTAGAATCTGACATACATAGAGAAATCACGTAGTACAAGTACACTTTCATTTTTCCCCCTCTGTACCTTAGTAAATCACCAAATATGCCTCAGAGATTATAGCCTGGGAATAGTGTTCTGTAAAACAGATCTAAAAACAGCTAAGGTCAAAATTTGAGTGACCCATGCTGCATGTTGATTAATGGCTGTTGCTGGGAACATAGACTTTTCAAAGCATCTCTAGGTGTCCATAAAGTTCTAACATTTTCAAAGGTGTTTGTGTCAAAATTTGAGGCCAGTAAGTAACAGCCTCTTTGAGAAAGTTGTTTCAATAATGGCCCTTGCCACAGGGAATGGTATCCTTACATCCCCTGGCATTTATTTATGAGAAGCTGCCCTTGATTAGCTCACAAAAAAAAAAGAAAGAAAAAGAAAAAAGAAAATCACTTAAGCGGAAATTCAAACCATTTTGTTAACGATTCTTTCATCAAATGGCACCCATGTTCTTAATAAGAAAGTATCAGTGGGTCTCCAGTTAGCTAATTAATTAGCTAATACAACCAGAGTGATTAAAAGCTCCACAGACGATGGAGATGCCAATCTGTTCAAATGAGTGGATCTGAGACTAAAATAATTTATGTCTCTGTCCCCAGGGCAAGCAAGTACTAGGTAAATGTTTATAGACTCGATTTAAGTTTCAGCAGCCTTTGAGATGCATTTGACTGCAAAGCATTTCTCACTAAATTAACTATTTTCCAAAAACACACAACCCCTTGCCCAAATCCATGAACATATTACCTTATCTCCAAGGACCAGCCTGTGGTCTATTTGGTTTTTTGTTGTTTTGGTTTTTTGTTTTGTTTTGTTTTTAATGTAAGACAAGGTCTTTTTATGTAGACCAGGCTTTCTTGAAAATTACTATTGAGCCCAGGTTCTCCTCAAACTCATGGCAATCCTCCTGGCTCAGCCTCCCATGTGCTGGGATTACAGATGAATGCTGCCACACTTGACTCCATCACATATTCTTAAAACCATTTTTTTCCATTTTGCTTTAAAAAACAGCATGTTCCTGTTTGCTATGGGAATACTTAGTATCTTGGATACAGAAGTGCTGGTTTGAGTCCAATTAGAAATGTTTGATGCTGCTTCTTGACAGCATGTATTTGTGTATATATATATATACACATATATATATACACACATATATATGTATATACATATATATATGTACATATATATATATATATATATATATATATATATATATACAAAATCAACAATTACAGTCTTCAAAAAACAGGAGCAAAATAAATACATGTCAGGGACAAAGCCTCAAGCACCTTTGGATGTTGGATGTCAGGAAATTTATGATCCATGTCTTGGATCAATTTTGAAGCCAACCAGATCACTCTTGGGCAGCTTTGAAGGCCCTTGACATTAAGATTGGTTTTTGTAGAGGTGACCAGCTCATTCTGACTGCTTTTGGGCAAGTCTTTTCCCATAAGTCTATGTAGCTCAATGTTCTCATGCACCATGAAGATATACTCAGGCAGAGAGAGCATCTCACTCTCCTTTCTGCCCTTGGAGCCAGACTGGAGTAATTGGCACAGTGTCCTCAATTGACTAATGAGCATTCCTCTCAGGGTTTTAGACCTAATTAAAAAAAAAGTCCTTCTTCTGTGACACCTCTTCCTCCAGGTCACTCCAGGCAGCCCAGCTTCTTTCAGGTGTGATTTCCCCTATGAAGAACCAGGGGGAGGTGACCTCACCTTTGCCTGTGTTCTCACTGAGTCCTGTGATATTTCAAGAAGTTGAAGACAGAAAAGGGGCCAATGTAAGCTGTCTTAGCAGAAGCTAGTGTACAACCTAGGTTTGGTAGGCAGCGGAGATGAATTTTATAACAAATTATTACTCAACAAATTTTGATCAGCTACCACTACTCTACCAGCCACTGTGTGGAGCCATACCGCCCATCTCTGCTTCTAAGTTTTCCTAGCAGGTGGTTTAGCAGTGATTTGGGGCCAGGTTTATCATCAGACTCCTCTGAGGCATCTGCCATGACACGGGCATTTCTAATTGAAACTGTGCTACTGGAAGTTCTTGGCCATTTCACACCCAAGTTTTAGTCACCTGGTGGGATGTTAGGTTTGATCATGAAATTCAAGCATCACTGTTGGAATATTATTGATCGTATAAAGGTTACAGAATAGGTCACCCTACATAAAATGCATGAAGTTAACATGCCTCCTTCTAATGGCCTCATTTGTTCCTGAGAAATGAATGAATTTCTGCTTTACAGATCAGTCAAGCAGCTAAAAGATCAGGGTCGCCCCTTTTACCCCTGTTAGTATTGGAAAATCACAACAAGGAAATGAAACCAAGGAAGCACAGAGGGACCTCATCCTCCAAGTTCTCCTCCCATAAGAGGCTTTGTCTGAGCAGGTTAGTTAAGTTCATATTTAAATCCCTTTGAATATTTTAAGGCAAAATACCTATGTAGCATTCTTCATACAAAGCTGCAAACCAAACTTGAAAGCTGATCGAGATAAAGGTCTCCAGATTTGATGATTGACATTTTGTTGTTGGTCCTTGGAGAATAAGTAAATTGACTCCTGGCATGAATCAAGTGTTTGCACAGTGGTCCATTTCAGTAGATATCTGTCTCTAAACTGCTTCAGTGTCTCTATCAGCTGGCTAGCCTACACCAGACAATGACAGAGACAACCTTTGCAGGAACACTGTCTTTCAGGACTTGAAATTTTTCTTTAAAATTTGTTTGTTCTTACATTTATTTAGTTAGTTATGTGTGCATGCCATGGCATTTGTATGAAGGTTTGAGGATAACTTGTACGAGTCAGTTCTCTCCTTCTAGCTTTGGGCTCTGGGAGGTCAAACTTGGGGTGTCAGGCTTGATGACAAACACCTTTACCCGGGAAACCTCTTTGATGGCTGACTTGAAGTTATTCTTCAGTACATTCTGAGTGGTAGTTGATCAGGATTCACTTAGTTTTAAAGTAAAATTTGACTTTCTCTTCATGATCCTGTGGGCTGAGTGCGCAGAGCATAGTAGGTACTCAAGAAACATGTTCTCACAACAATAAATGTATTCTATGTTCTATGTGTATGTAGAATTCCCACTTGCATGCTTGGATATTAAATGATGCAATCATAAGAAAGGTGAGCTTTCTCCTGCACATCAGAAAACCAATTCCTTTTTGGAGAATATTGAGGAGAAATACCAGTTCTTTTCTCTTTTTTCCTCTTTCTTTCTTTCTTTCTTTCTTTCTTTCTTTCTTTCTTTCTTTCCTTCCTTCCTTCCTTCCTTCTTTCCTTCCTTCCTTCTCTCTTTCTTTCTTCTGTCTGTCTTTCTTTCCTTCTTTGTTAGGTTAGGCATGAAAGAATGTGGAAATGCAAATAAAGGACTTTTGCCTCTGGAGGAATTACATCATTTTCTCAGACTCTCTTTGGATTCTGTCCTTAGCTCTTGAACTGAAGTAAGCTTATTATCAAACTCAGCTGTAACCGACCTGCTGGTTCCGAAAGGACTAGGACAGAGGGTACCGAGGAAAGGTTCTGTCCTGAGATCAGTAGATTGTGCCGTTTCAATTTTTAAAACCTAGCAGGTCTCTATCAAACATGAGCTGTTCTTAGTTTTCCATTTACTATTTTAGTCCATAAGGCACCTAAGGATCAACTTTGGGTTCCTGAATTATATAGCTAAACCACTGTCCCCTATTCCTGATCCATCTAAAGCCCCTGTTTATAGTTCCATATGAGCAAAGGAAATTGGGAAGTAGGAGGCAGGGGAGCCCTGTGGAATGAGGGTTGTTTTCTCCTCATAGCAAGTAGGCTCCAAAGAAAGTTTTATCTTCTCTTGTGTAATCCACCAAGGAGATGTCACTGACATTTACCATCAGCCTGTCTCCTTCTTCCAAGAAGAGCACGGCTCCAAGGTAAAGGGGCTGAAACCACTTGCTGCTTATTTCACACACAGACTTGGTCCCTGTGAGGAGGTAGGCAGGCTCAGGATAGCTGTCGGCTACCTTGTTGATAACCACAGTGATGGAGTCTGGCTTGTTTGGTCGTCTCCCCCGGATGATGTCACCACACTCAGATGTGGTCCCTCGGAATGTGATCTGGGAGTAGATGAAATAGGCTCCTGACTCTGGGATCACCAGGAATTTGCTGGTGTAGTTCATCCAGTTCTTGGTGAAGGCCAACCCTACTTCATGCTCCCAGTGCAGAACAGAGAGCTGATTTTCCAGATGCTGTCCTTGAGTTTGTTTCCGAACTGCAAGTACAGTAGAGAAGTTTAATCGGCACAGGTCGGAACCTGTGGTTTATCAGAGTAAAGTCTTATACCATTTTTCTGTCTGTCTGTCTGTCTGTCTGTCTGTCTGTCTGTCTGTCTGTCTCTGTCTCTCTCTGTATGTGTGTGTGTGCCTATGTGTGTTTGTGTTCACGTTGTATCTACATGTGTGCATACAAGTACACATGCGTGTGGAGGCCAGAGATAGAAGCTCTACATTTTGAGATACGGCTTTTCACTGAACCTGCAGCTCACCAATTTTAAGAGACTGGCTGGCCAGAAAGTTCTAGGGATCTGTCTGTATCTGTCCCACCAGCCTTAGGGATACAGGTGCGAGTGACTGTGCATAGATTTCCAAGTAGGTTCTGCTGATCCAAGCTTAAATCCTCTGCTTGCATAGCAGGCACTTTCTGTAGGGAGTCATCTTTCCAGCCTCTGTCTCCTGCACTCACTTTCCTTGGTCACCCTATGAGGTTAGCAATCTCTTTCACAGTCGGAACTTTGGCACTCCTGATAATTTAAGTTTGTGCCCTGGGGTGTGGTCACTCATATTTGGATCACTAGAAAAGATTTCCTTATTGACAAATTGCTGTTCTACATGGGCACAGTGCAAGTTAAGAAATCCTCTTATTTTTCTGTGTACCTGAAAAGAATTTCATGCTAAGTTGGCTTACCCAGGACAAGGCCAGACAGAGGCCCTCTCAGTTCTCATTCCTGAAGCTATTCATAGGTTTTGTCAAAGCTTCATCGTTTTTACACGAGTTTAGTACTTTATGTTAGATTGGACTGTCTGCCAGAGGTCCTGGAAACATCCACCAGTACAGAATCTACAACTCTATTCTCCTCTCCTCCCTCACTCTAGAAAAATTCGTTTTGCATAATGTGTCATTTTATTAAATCAGTGCTTGTTTTTATTTGGCATGTCGTTTTCTTTGAAAAAAGATAAATAATATTTGTGGGAAGAATTAAAAGAAGTGTAAAATTTGTGGCTATTAGGTAATACATTAATCTTTACTAGCTTTCTTGTTTCAGAAAAGCACTGTTCCAAAGGAAAGAGGGAGAAGAGAGGTGAGAGGGAGGAAGGAAGAGGAAGGAAAGATAGAGGGAGAAAGAGAGAGAAGAGGAAGAGAGGGAGAGGGAGAGAACGAGCTCATGAGAGGGGGAGTGCTAGCAACCATAGCAACCAACCTTGTCATTACATCACAACGCTGTGGTCCAATGTCACAAAACAGGCAGTAATCAATAATGTATTACCTGGAGACATGTTGGGACCAGAGACTCAGAACATTTTGGCAATTCTTCTCCTATACTGACAGGGCCAAATATAAGTCAATGCAATAGACTTGTGGAATGCAAGGAAGCTGGGCTTTGGGCCACTTGGGCCCAGTACCAACTCTGATTCTGCATCATGCAAAGCTCTTTAATCATCTGTAGAGATTGGTTTTCTCCTATGTACCTCAGTGTCTCATCTGGAAGCTGAGGATAGGGTTCTTTAGAGCCTTGTTCTGAAGATTAAGTGGGCAGAACAAATGTGAGCACTTTATAGATTACCATAAACTGGGAACTGTCCGGATAGCTTTTCCTGTTCAAATAAAGCAGCATATTTTATTTAGAAAGATTAAAGAGTAAGCTTGTGTCATTTTTATGTTTTATATGTTCTTATGCTTGCATCACTCCTAAATATACATTATATAAAACATATTAGCCAATGCTTTATGAAATATGCATACAGTTAAAGAAATAAATAGAACCAAACTTGATTCAAACCTCTGATGTCAAATAGGATAATTTGCAACAAGACGATTATTTTTAGAGGCAACAAAACCATCTTAATTCCCTATAACTACTTTAAAAACTCACAGCAATCACTATTATGTACTGACACTACAGTTTGGGCATAGCTTTTGTTTTAACGAAGAACTTAACAACTTGTGGATCCAATGGGTGACCAGAAACATAGATCCTAGACTTTCTAATACAGCAGTTTCTCAACCTATGGGGCACGACCATTGGAAAACGCTTATTTCTAATGGTCTTAGGAACAGAGGCATAGCTCAGTAGCAAAACTACAGTTATGAAATAGCAACAAAAATAATTTTGAGCTTGGGAGTTGCCACAACATGAGGAACTGTATTAAAGGGTTACAGCACTAGGAAGGTTGAGAACCACTGTGATCTAAGGTATCTTTCCCACTGTTGAATTGTCTAGGGTAACTTTTGCAAGCTTGCCACATATCCTGAATGGGTGTGGAATCCCACAGTCTCTGCATTAAATGGTTCTTGGAAAGCTCTGGCGCTTCCATATAGACATCTTATCGGTCACATCTAGTGGTCTCTGTCTCTTGACTGTGGATGATTGACTTGTGCTCTCTGATGATGCATAAACCAGTCCCTCTATGTCTGCAGAGAGGCAAGCTCTCTTGCACTGAATGCAGCAAAGCTGAGTTAGCTCAGCAGCAGCTGGAGTTGGGATAGGAAGCATGTTGCTTGAATCTTCCCAATGCCGACCCATCTGACTTGGAAAATGCAGATCAATGTCTGAGTTTAAATTTTCTCAATGTCTTTTCATGTGTGTATGTGGGGTATGAGGGGTGTGTGTGTGTGTGTCCCATGTGAAAACCAGAAGTTGACATCTAGTAACATACTCTGTTGCTTTATTTTTTGAGACAGATCTCTCTGGACCTGGAGCTTACTATTTCAGATAGCCTGGCTGTCCAGTGAGCTTCTGGGATCTGTCCAACTGCACCAGCACCACAGACACATAGCAGTATGCCTGGCTTTTTACATGGGTGCTAGGGATCTAGACTCAAGTTCTTAAATAATAAGCATCTCACTTACTGAGCTACCTCCCCAGCCCCTTCAAGTCCATCCAGGGATCTGTCATCTGTTATGAGATCCAGAATTACTTGAAGGACCAAGATGGAGGAAAGCCATTTGTGGATGGCTGAGTGTGAGCATGCCAGAGGAAAGCAGGAGAGACAGGTAGAACGCCGACTGCAGAGGACAGAGCACCCACCCATGAGTCATAGGCCCTTGGATCTGACACAGGGAAGAAATTATTCAAAATCCTTGATTGTCAATTCTGTTGCCAGTTTAAAGCCATCACAGTGAGTTTTGGTTAATATAGTGAAAAAGTATTTCAGATCTATGAACTGTGGTGTTTAAGGAAGTACAGGAAGGCTTACTTGTCAGGTGTGCTCTCGGTTTGTCTCTGGAAGGTGTGTCTGTAATAGAAGGAGAAATAATCTTTGAGTAATGGGTAACAGACTGAAGACAGCAACTGCAATGGAAGAGGAACATCAATCCTACTCACTGTGGTTCAGTTTCATGTCTTGTGGGCTTCGGATTGGTTCATGGTATCTGTAGGATACACCACCGGGATGTGGGAGACTCAGGAGTAAGAGTCTTAGGTGCAAAGGACTTTGGGCAAGTTGCCTAGCCTGGACTCTGTTCTCCTATCTCTAAGATGGGCACAGCAATCTCTACCTTGAATGCTGTGGTCACATGGTTCTTGGTTCTTAGAGACAAATAAACCATGGCTCATTGCTTCTTCTTTTAGCTATACTGTGAGGGCCAGATGATCTTTTGGATTCTTTATGGTTCTCTTACTATATCCACTGAGGAGTATGGATAACTCAACTGAGAAAGGATGTGGAGTGAGTAGGACCTACTCTGTCGCTCCATGATCTTGACAGATCCTTTACCATTTCTGTGCCTCTTTTCTCATTAATCTTTGAGAATGACCTTATCATTTCATGTTGGCTTTTGTGTTAAACAGGTTCTATAGTGATTCAGATGGTGTTGACTATAAACAGCAACATCTATTGTTTATTTCTGATGTTTTGGGAACTACTCTCATCCCTTAATAGGGGTTGATCAATTTCCTCTACACTCACCTTGCCAGAAAGGATAACCACTGTCAGAGGTGAATGACTGTAGACACTGATCTGTCTGAAGGCCACATTGTCTAGTATATCCCTGAGCTGGGAGTTTAGATTCAGGCCATGGATCATACATGTAGTCAGAGCACTGTTTTGCCTTCTTAGCAATGAGGGAGGAGCCTTATTATTCTCTAGGTCTGTCTACATGCCTTGGCTTGACAATTTGGCAATTATAGACCCATCTCCAATACATGTATACTAAAATTGTCAACAAAGTCCTTATCCCCCACAAGAAAAGACATCAATGATGAACACTTACAAACTGGTTGTATTGAAGGTTCAGATCTTGGTTCTGATATAACCTGTTGAGAAAAAGTACAGTTCAGATTTACAGTCCTTAAATCAAAAACCCACACAGCTGCCCATAAGACTCTGCTGCTGTCTAAGATTTGGTCCTCTTCTGGGAGGGGAACAGCATTGGAGTATCTCAGTTGGTGGGAATCTTGCATCTCAGCTCTGCACTCCTTTTCTAGAGACTACCAGTGGCCTTCCTTTCTCCTGTCTTTATTTCTTAGCTTCAGAGCTTTTCCTGCTGTATCTGAGGAGATTTCTACATCCTGTCATTGCTTGTAATAAACAAACTGGAAATTACTTTATTTTTCCCACACTATTTTGAAGGTTGTAACTATTCTTGTTATTGGCATATACTGCCTGTGTACCACGAAGGACTTGGTTAAGACACTCTCATCCCACCCTATCATATACTCTGACCATATTCACCCTCTCATATTCTCTTCTGCTCTCTTCTTTCCCCCAGCTATTCCTTTTCCCTCAAGATAGTCCTGCTTTTAATTCATGAAATCTACCTCTCTGCAGCTGTATCTATATCACTTGTATCCATCTCTCCCTAAGAATGGTTGTATATAATTGAGGATCCACACATGAAAGGAAACACACAATATTGGTCACTCTGAGTCCTAAGAAATGATTCAAAGAAATAATGACTACCTTCCCCTTCCCATCAGCTTTGCAATTCCTATTTGTTTCCACAGAACACATGAAGAATTCTTCCACCGTCACATCCCTAGTTCCTGAGTCCCTTCAGATTTTCCATGATAGAAGAAAAGCAACTGTCTTGATACCAGATAGACATGCATTTGGATTGTGGTTCTGTCCTTTGTCAATGGTAAGATCTTGTGAAAGATACCATTTTCTCTGAGTTTAGTGTACCCACTTATAAACTACAGATACTGACACCCCCAAACCTGAGTGACTTGCAGAGTTGAAGTGAAGATCAAATAAGAAAATGCCCCAGTCAGTTCAAAGGACACATGAAAATACAAGAACTATCATTCTCCCAGGCCTGAGCACAAACTCAGGAGCAAGGCAGGCTCCCAGCTTACTAACAGTACCATCAGCTTTCACACACTTGCCTTTGCGAGACAGTTCTCTGACTTGGATCCTGTAATTACACAGCCTCCATTAGCAGATTATTTCCTACTACCATGGACATCTCATCTATGTCTGCAGCTTAAAACCTATATGTGCACAGCACATGTGTGTGCTTGTGACTGAGGGAATGTAACTGTGTGAGTGCAGGGGAGCAGGCTTCAACACAGAAGAGTGTGCACCAATACATCCAGGTTCTGCCTCCTGCTCTCTGGGTCCTCCTACAGCTCCTTGGCAGACCTCCCTGCCTTTGGTTTCTTCCTTTTGTCTATTTTATATCTACTCTCTAGAGGGCTAACTAGAGATGATTCTATTATGACCGAGATTCTATTGTGCTCATCATGCTTTGGTGGATCCTCATGCCTTTCACAACATAGACCTATACTTTTTTTTAAAAAAATTACATTTTATTTATTTTATGTACATATGTATAGGTACAGTGCATGTGTGAAGGTCTGAGGACAACTTGTGCTGGTCTGTTTTTTACTTTCACCATGAGGATCCTAAAGCAAGCACCTTTACCCACTGAGCCCTCCTACTGCCTCAGAGTTCTATCTCATCCTGACATCCCATGTCCCACTGGTCACCTCTCTTGTTACCAACTGCTTGCTCTTTTCTATTTCCTCTGTGTTTCCAGCTGTAAGAAGAAACCACAGTGTTCCTCAGTCAATAGATTTAAAAGTACGAAGAGTGCAGTTGTTGCTTATTTGTGCTGGCAGCACGTCCTTCGGCCTCATGAAACACACTATAGTAGATTCTATCCATATCCCCATAGTAACAATGGGGCTTGCCAAATGTCCTCCATCCCATATGTGGGGGGACTAGCATGTTAACTCTGATCAGGTGACTTCAAAATCTCAATATCAAAACTCTGCCCTTATAGTTTATGGACAAGCTCCTGATGTATTAAGGCAGAAGACGTGAGAGTCAGCATGGTGATAGTGGGGTGAGCTCAAGGTTCATTAAACAGATGACTGATCCAGAACTGTGAGGACCTGTGGAAAGCAGTCTGAACAGAGGCTTACAGGTCCTGTACATGTCAGTCAGATGATGAAGGATGAAGAGCCACACTGGAAAAGGCTAACAGCACGTACAAGAAGAAGGAAGGCCAACTTCACATGGGAACATTTACTTCTCTGCTGGGAAACCACATCATTCACCCTGCTTATGTTGGGCTGAATGGACACTCAGCAAACGTTTTGGGGCATCCCTCTTTGACTAAGAATTCCAGGGCTGTGAGCTGGTACCTGGGCTATGCACACAGGTTCCTGATGGGTCTTTAGGGTTTTTATTACTTAGACACACACATTTTATTTTTATATATGGATGGGATGCATGGGTTTTAGTGGTTCAGATTGCCACTAGATACAAAGGCTGAGCTAGCTCCCTGCTGGAAATGCTGGAAGGTATTGAAGACTATACCACTCCCAGAATCTGAAGGGAAACTGTAAGCTGGAACTCTCTTTTCCTTTCATTCGCTCATTTTTTTTTAAACAATGACTGTCATGGAGAAGAAGCTACTGTGAAGGGGCATGACAGTAGATGAGGTGGGAAGGGGTGGGGCAGTAGCTTGTCTAAGGAAAGGTTCAAGAACCAAGATGTCCTGCTGCCTACATTCCAGATGGTGGCTCGCAACCTTCCTGTTAACCTGGCAATTAGACATCCTTCCTGTTCTCTAGGTGGGGTTCCTCCAAACATTTTTGGATGACTCAGGAGTCCTGAGGAGATGAAAGCTCCCAAGGACTGCTGTATTGGTTTCCAAATCCAAACGGACCCTGGCCCCAGGCCACACCTCAAGAAGTAGACATTTTCCCTTAACATGACCATGGGCTGAGAATCAGAGTCTAATTCTATTTCTTGGGATAATGTTTTTCTCTCTGTAGGAGAATTTGCTAGGCAGTGTCTGGTTTGCCCTTACCACTTTATTCCCAGTATGCAAGGAAGTGTCCGTGTTTTTACTGAAGTATGAGTCTGCAAAATTTGGGCCTCAGGAAGTCCGGGGCAGAGAGGAGTGGGTAACGGGGCAAAGCTCGGATTCAGTGACGTAGTCAGGGTTTCACACCTCAAAAAACTAGGAGACAGGTATTTTTGGCTAGCTTAAAACTTTTTGAGCCTGGAGAGATTGCTCAACAGTTAAGAGCACGTATTGGTCTTGCAAATGACCCGGGTTCAATTCCCAGCATCCATATTGTAGCACTTATTCATGTGTAGATTCAGTTTTAGGGGATCTGATGTTTTTTTACCTTCCTAGGCACCAGATGTGCATGTGGTACACATACACACATACCACCAAAACACTTAAACACATAAATAAAATATGCAAATCATCATCATTACCAACAACAAGCAAACAATATCTTAACAGCTTAAAGGTGGGTAGCAATAGCCTGTTAGTAGTACGGTTTCCAAAGTTTCCCCAAATGTCTGCCCGGAACACAGCTGAGACTCTGAAAATGTTTACTGAGAATTGAAACGGATAGCCAGAAACCTTGTCAAAAGAAACAAAAACCAAAATGCTAATGTGTACACTCATGACCTTACATCCTAGTGGGACAGTGGGGTGTCCAGGACATGCAGCATTAAAATATAACTGGTGCTTCCTCCATCCGCCTTCCCCCACTTAATTCTTGCAGGTTATAACGCTTATCTTACACTATTCTATGATTGTCTTTCTTTCACTGGTTGCTTTTTTATTTTTTTTTGGCATGATGACTACTAGTGACCCTTTGCCTCAGACTGTGTCCTTCACGTATTTCTCGACTGAATCTACTTTTTCCAACTGGGCAGAAAAAAGGCTGGAGTGAAGGGGGAGCCACTTAGCCATATACTCCTGTGTGCTAGGCTCTGTGCTGGGCCCTGGTGTGTGAGCGTTTTAAAAGTCTGTGCAAGCTGACGTCATCACAGGTGTTTAAAGGTCTTAAGAAAGTACTGACAGTCAAAGGTAGGGAGAGGGATCTGAACCTTTGGAGCAAATTCAGATTCTGACGCACACACTAGGATCCTGATGAGCATTGTCAAGGAACACAACATAAGTAAGTTAGCAGTGAGCTGGCCTTTGAGATTTCCTGGCATTCCCCCAGAAAAATCCCTGTGAGTATATATTAATTAATGATCCACTTAGCCTTCCCTCCCACTTTTGGAGTCACCTGCCCATCTATTCTGTTCACAAACAGGAAATTATATTCATTTCTTGCTGTCATAAACGCTGCAATTGAAAAGACATTCATGTTTTATGACCCAGGACAGTTCCCTCCGCCCATCTAGGGAAAATCAGTGCGTTTGAGGCTTCCTTTCCTCTGTATTTTCACAATGATAAATACAACTGGAAATGGCTGCTTTTGAGGTCACTTCATTGCATCATCCTCTGCATTGGCCTGGACCACGGTTGCCATGGTATATATTTGATCTGGCCCAGAGCAAAAAGTCAGGGGTTTGCAGCAGAGCAAATTTGGAAATTCCGACTTTGTTATTTCTTGACTCCTGATTCTGGCACACTAGCTGACCTTGGTATTCTTTCCTGGCAGGCCTAGCCTTCTAGCTCAGAGATGCCACACTTAAAGTCAATATCAATTCATTTATTTTCTCTCTTTCTTTGGGCCCAAGCAACAGCAATCCTCCTGGACTGTCTGCACCTTCCACGCTAGGGTTTTATAGCTTTGGCTGTAAACAGAAGTTGCCATTGGATCTGTTTTTACGAGAAACAGCAGATTTTAGAATCTGTTAGGAGTTTGGGGTGACTTTATTCTTTTCTCCAAACAGACACTGTGTAGGCTTCATAGATACATAGTTTACTTCTGGACTCTGCCTTTTCAGAATGCAACTCTGGAGAGGAAGCAGAATGGACCAGTGTCTGCTTCAAATCCTCAGCTTGCTGCTACTGTCTGCTCCTGGCAGGCAAACGGTTCAGGCCGGG